AGAAGCCCACGCACCACAATGAAGAGTAGCCCCCACTCACCACAACTAGAGAAAGCCTGCGCACAGCAACGAAGACCCAAGGGAGCCAAAAATAAATAAATAAATAAATTTATTTTTTTTTTTTTGCGGTATGCGGGCCTCTCACTGTTGTGGCCTCTCCCGCCGCGGAGCACAGGCTCCGGACGCGCAGGCTCAGCGGCCATGGCTCACGGGCCCAGCCGCTCCGCGGCATGTGGGATCTTCCCAGACCGGGGCACGAACCCGCATCCCCTGCATTGGCAGGCGGACTCTCAACCACTGCGCCACCAGGGAAGCCCAATAAATTTATTTTTTAAAAAAAGAAAAGAGATATACTATAAGCCACTGTTATTTTGAACTCCTAAGTTATATGCAGCTAAACCTAATCCTGATATGGCCAGGATTTGATATTACTCTTTGATTGGAGTTCCATGTATTCATGTTGACAATTTTCACTGATTGGTCCCCAGATAATAAGGGACTCTGACCTAGAACTGTGGGGTAGTCTTATATGCTTGGCTCCCCATAGTAGAATCCTGGTTGGAGTGGGAAGATGCAGTAGGCAGGCTCTGGAGCCAAGGTAGGATTTTGGTGGCAAAGGGAATTTTTTTTTCAGCTGCGCCCTGCAGCTTGTGGGATCTTGGTTCCCTGACCAGGGATTGAACCCAGGCCCAGGCAGTGAAAGTGCTGAGTCCCAACCACTGGACTACCAGGGAATTCCCAGCAAAAGGAACTTATTCCTCTAAAAGGCAGATTAGTCCCCAGAGAAATTAAAAGAATTAAATAGCTGATACATTATTTTAATATAGCACTCCTTCAGCATCCGCAGAACTAGAGCCGAGGGTTCCTGTGAGTAGGAAACTCCATGAATAGACCCTGGTATATATGCTCAAGAGCCACCTGGTCCAGGAAATTGATTCTTTCCCGTTCAAAACCTTTTTTTTCTTCTGGACCTCCCTTCATGACTCCCCTACTAACTACTTGGGAAGGGAGTCTGAAGATCATTTCTGCCACTTTGTACTCCTCCCAGCACAGGCCAGAAGGCTCTTTAGTCCCATGTGGCTGGCCTTGGGGTGTTGGCAGGGGATTCACTGTCTCCCAGTAGCTGGGTACTTCCACATACCTTTATCTTGGTTAACTGGCCTCAGTTCAGACCCTGTTCCAACACCGAAAACCCAGCAGCATTTTCTTTTAATTAATTAATTTATTTTTGGCTGCGTTGGGTCTTCATTGCTACGCGCAGGCTTTCTCCAGTTGCGGTGAGTGGGGGCTACTCTTGGTTGCGGTGCGCGGGCTTCTCATTGCGGTGGCTTCTCTTGTGGTGGAGCACGGGCTCTAGGCACGTGGGCTTCAGTAGTTGTGGCTCGCAGGCTTCAGTAGTTGTGGCACACGGGCTCTAGAGCACAGGCTCAGTAGTTGTGGTGCACGGGCTTAATTGCTTCACGGTATGTGGGATCTTCCCAGACCAGGCTGGAACCCGTGTCCCCTGCATTGGCAGGCGGATTCTTAACCACTGTGCCACCAGGGAAGCCCCCCAGCAGCATTTTTAAAGTAAAACAAGGATAGTTGATGAGTTGTGTAAACTTATTGTCTCTACCTCACATTTTTAGCCTCCAAGAAACTCAAAACACCCTGCAACTATAGTTCGACATTCAAATAGGCCTGGGGTCCCCAGGAGCAGCGAGGTGGATGCTGCCGAAGTGGGCAGTCTTGTCACCACCTTGCTTAAAATCTGTCAACAGCCTCTCACTGGTTTTAGAATAAAAACTCCACTCCCCCTGACCTTCAAGCCCACCCTCCCTCCAGTCCATCAGAACTTCTCAGAACTCACTCCTTGCCTGCCATTCCCACCTCTCACTTTACTCACGACCGCATCCCCCAAAACCCTCTTCCTCCTCCCCTGCCCCAGCTCCACATGTTTATAATTCTTCAGGCCCAGCACAAACACTGTTTTTTCTCAAGCCCTCATGATGCTGGAGATCATAAACTCACATAGATTTCATCTAAAACCACTTTTCCTACTTTTTTATGTTTGTTTTTTTTTGTGCATTCATTTGCTTGATCCTGCCTACTGAACTGTAAGCTTCTAAAGGGTACCCATGCTTCCCAGACTCTTCGATGTGCTCACCAGGCGCCTGGCATCTAAGAGGCACCCCAGGACTATATGTTACCTGTAGGAGGTTAGACAAGAACCAAAACAGGCTCCTTTTTCACCCCCTCAGTCTCCTGGTACTCTTCTTTCTCTCCTTTATTCTCAGCAACAGAAGGACAGGGAATTATTTGGGGACAGGGGAGGTTACTAGCGATGACTGTAAAAAGCTAGAGTTGTCATGGATAATTCCCTTTGATTATATGTTGAAATTTTTGAGAAAATATCTTTCTCATTCTCTGCATTGTGAAGCTTCTGATATTTATAGAGATCTTTTGGAAATCAATAGTGTTTTTTACCTTTAATGCTTTCTCTCGAATGTAATTAACCAGGAAAAGGGCCCTTGTGACATGGAGTTGTACTTCTCAGAGCCTAGCTCTGACTGCATTAGGAAGAAAAACATCAGAGTGAAAGTATAATTCATTAAGTTGTCTACTTCAAAGGCAGAAATCAGAATTCCACAGCTCAGGTTGCCATGCCTTATGTCTTCTTTTTTTCTTTTAAACCTGAAAGCAGCCAGATCCTCCAGAAGAAAAATGTGTATGCCGTGTGTGTGTGTGCGTGCGCCCACCTGCGTGTGTGTGTGTGTGTGTGTGTGTGTGTGCTTGCAAGTGGCACATATGTACTAATAAGCCATATTTCTTCAGTTGACCACTTTTGCCAGTTTGTCCCAAACAGTGGTTTGCCCCTGTCTAGAGATACTTTTTTGGGGGGGTGGCCACACCGCACGGCTTGTGGTATCTTAATTCCCGGACCAGGGATTGAACGTGGGCCCTCAGCAGTGAAAGTGCCGAGTCCTAACCACTGGACCCCAGGGCGTTTCCTGGAGATACGTTTTATTATTCCCACTGGGGAGGGACTGTACTGCATCTAGTGGGTAGAAGCCAGAGATGCAGCTAAACATCCTACAGTGTGCAAGACAGCCTCCACGGCAAGAACCGTACAGCCCACAATGGCAGTAGTGCCAAGGTTGAGAAGCTCTGTCTAAATCTGCCAGTTATTCACTTCAAATATGTCATTCATTCCTTCCTTGAGAACACACTTTTCATAGTCTCTGAAAGAAAATAACAGCAATTACTATCAAGAACTCATTACCTAGTTTAGCTTTCCACTGAAAACTGTGTAAGAGGAAAAGTAACATATTTTCAATAAAAAGACTGTTAATCTCAAAACACTTCTTAAGTGTGAAAAGACATTTTCTTATTATGTGAGTACCTACATAATATCCTCAATCTTGCCTCTTAGCCTACAAAGCCTAAAGATTTAATATCTGGCCCTTTACCAAAAAAAAGAAAAGCTCCTAATCTAGAAGACTGTGGATGTTCTGAAATTTGCTAGGAAACCTCCTTAAAAGTGGCGCTGAAGGACTGCTGGCTGGGGAAAGTTTGCTTACGTGTGAAGTCTGATTAGTCCGATTTAGCAAACAAAGCCCATCTACAGTTACATTATTTAATCAAAACAGAATTGGGGACTTCCCTGGCAGTCCAGTGGTGAAGACTCCGAGCTTTCACTGCAGGGGGTGCAGGTTCGATCCCTGATTGTGGAATTAATATCCCACATGTTGCTCATGGCCAAAAGTAAAAAATTTAAAAAATAGAATTGGACTTGAAGCTACATTTATCTGCTATAAACCTAACACTGTACAATTTAGTTTCAGCAAAGAACACCATCTGTCTCACATCAACATTGCCAGTTTGAATTTTTGTTAGTTTTACAGTTTTGTTTGTATCCTATTTGTACATCATGCTTTGACTTAAGACATCCATGTCATGGAAACAGTGGAGTGTCCAGAAGAGGCTGTATCAGGCAGAGCAGACCTGGACAGAAGTCTGGTCTTCCCTCTTCAAATGCAGGGCTCTTAAACTTAATATGCACTGAACCACCCAGAAGTGTTTCACATTCAGCCTCCCAAACTTTTCTCCCAAAGAGAAACATGCGTTGATGGTTCCTATAGTCACAGCTTTGTTCTGGCCTTTGCTTTAGACCCCAAGAGGATCTTTCACAAAGCTCCAAGGCAATCTTCTCTATAAGAGATCCCCACCATGAGTTAGGAAGAAAGGGAGCCCACTCTACCTTAGAATTCATTGTTACTATAAATCCTAAACTGCACTTGTTTGCAGAATATTCTAGAATACAGCAGTGCCTTGAGCTATTTCATTTGTAACCAACTAGCAGTAATTCAGGTTTAAAGATACAACTACTAAACAAGGGAACTTCCAGTTAAAAAAGAAAATATGGCTAAGATTCATTCTCTATCAATCTAGTTAATTTTTAAGAAGCTTTAAATAACATAAACAATCTCAGTAGTCCTAGATTTTAGTGATTTTCTGAAATATTCACCGCAGGTTCAAACATACATGCAAAAGCCCTTGCTTCATTGCCTGCAAAACCGATAAATATTTTCATTTTAGATAAAAGTCAGTAGTCCAGCACAGGCTTCATGGTTAGTATAGACTCTGTACTACTGAAAAAAAGTCTCAGTGCCAGGTGCCAAAAACCTAGTGTCTCTAAAAAAGGCTTTCAAAAACCAAGTCGCCTTAAGTTCAGGCCACTTCCTAAGCTAACATTGCTGAGGAAACCAGGGTATTAATCTGTGACTTTGACTGACTATGTTACACAAGCTACCCTCCAGACCCCACAGCCCACTGCCCATTAAGACGTAAGACATTTATTATAAACAAAAGCTTTTTCTAGGAAGGGGAAGATTTTTAGACTGGACAATGACAGGACCAAGGCTCACCTGGTAGCGAAAAGCTCCAGGGCAGGAAATCCCAGCTCAACTCCTGACGTGGATGTGACTGAAGGGGGCTTGGGTTCACCATCCAGTTTCCTCACCATGAACCTGGAATGACAACACACCCGACTTCACAAAGGAGCCAGGACGTGGGACGAACAAAGTGACAGCAGCATTTTCCCAATTCAAGATGGGAAAGCATAAAGTAACTATACTCCAATAAAGATTAAAAAAAAAAAATGGGAAAGCATAACTTCATCGTGTGTGATGTCCCCACGCACCTTTCAGTGACCCTCTGCCATTTAAACTATCAGTTACTTATTTATTCTCAGTCTCAGCACCTTCTGTTCAGATCCCTTTGGGTTCCCTAACCTCGGCTTTGGTCTCTGGTGGTGAACCCCGACCCAGCTTTCCGACAGACATTTCTCCTGCCTCCCAGCTCACCTCCATCCCCAGCGCCCTGGCGTGGCTTGCACAGACTCACCACCATGCGTCTGCAGCCCGCCTCTGGACAAGCCTGCCAGCCCACCAGCTATCAGCGGGATGGCCCACTGGTTCTTGCCCGGGATGAAGGGCACATCTCTCCCTGACCCCCCCCTTCCTCCCGTGTGCAACCCACATGCTGTAATAATGCCCCTTGTGAGTCATAACTAGGTCACGACCCTCCTCAGGCCATATGTCACCTCCTCACTTCTTTCAGATCCCTGGTGCTCTGTATGTAAGAGAGTTCAATATACACCACCAAATGGTAATTATTTGTTAGACCTGTCATTTTCCAGTGGTTTGGAGAATGTTTTCCTAGCTCAGTGGATTCCCTCTTTCCTTAATCAATAAACGTTTCATGACCATACAAACACCATTAGCTGAAATTATTATTTTGGTTTAGTATACATCATTACATCATGATTTAAATTTGAAAAGGCCTCTGTATGATTATTATACGTGGAAACAGCGACATCTCACTAATGTGGCATTATAGGAAGGGGTCAAGGCCATAAAAGTGAACTTCCTGGATAAATGAAAATGACCTCCTTAAGGACCAAGCCCTTGGAAAAATTTCACAATTTTTAATGGAACTCTTTGTTTTGGAAATCATTCTAAAATTAAACACTTCAATACTTACATAATTATCAATGGATTTTTTCTTACATAACTACCAATGGTTTAAGGATGCCTGCCTCCTTATACAATGGAAATCGAACATAATTTAACTTTTTCATTATATTCCAGATCACCATTAAGAGTATCCATTATTGAATATTGTAATAATCCAGTGCTAGTTTTGCTTCTTGTAATTCTTGTCATTCAACGTTAGATTGCCAGACGACACTTCATGCTACTGTTTTACCTGCTGGTCCCTTCTAATTCATTGCTTCTAATCTGCTCCAGACCAGCACACCAGGAAATCAAACTTAGGAGTCAGAAACGTGTTTGGGCACTGCTGGTGGGAATGTAAAATGGTGCAGCTGCTATAGAAACTAGTATGGTGGTTCCCCCCAGAATAAAAATAGAATTATCATATGATTCAGCAATCCCACTTCTGGGTATATACCCCCCAAAAATTGAAAGCAGGGTCTCAAAGAGACTTTTGTACACTCCTGTTCACAGCAGCATTATTCACAATAGCCAAAAGGTGGAAGCAACCTAAGGGTTCATCAGCAAATGAATGGGTAAACAAAATGTGGTGTACACCTACAATGGAATATTATTCAGCTTTAAAAAGGCTGAATTTTCCCTCAGAGTCCCTACATTGTCCTGGAAAGAGTGAGTTTTCTTCCCTCTTGGTCATGACCTGTGCGTGTCATGACCCACCCCTCACCCTGGCCCCTCCCTCTCTCTGGTCCCGGGATGGTCAGAAGAAGAGAGAAGGGTATTTAGTAGTGGGAGATGGAGTAAGAGGAAAAACCAGCTCAAGGGGACGGGCAGGGGAGGGCTAACAGCCCCCCCATCCCCTCGTTTGTGCCAGGCAGGACAGCTAGGTCAGTGGTCCTGTGCATGTGTATATATTATGACCCCATTTTACATATGAGGGAAATGAGGCCCATTTCCAAATGCCAAAAATGAGTGAAGTAAGAGAAACAAAGACACCGTTGTGAGTTCACTATTCTCAGATTATATCCTTCCTAATTTTTTTTACGGCTGGGGAGGGACAGGTGGGGGAAGGTTAAAAAAAAAGTAAGGAAGGAAATTCTGACACATGCTACACATGAATGAACCTTGAGGACATTGTACCAAGTAAAATAAGCCAGTCACAAAAAGACAAATACCGTATGATTCCAAGTATATGAGGCACCTGGGAAGTCAAACTCATAGAGACAGGGCTTGGGTGGGGGTATTGGTTGCCATGGGGTGGGGAGAGGGGCAAATGGGGAGCTGGGTACAGAGTTTCAATTCTGCAAGATGAGTTCCGGAGATGATTACACAACAATGTGAAAGTAATTAACACTACTCAACTGTACACTGAAAAATGGTTAAAATGGTAAATTTTATGTTATATGTATTTTAGCACAGTTAAAAATAAACTTTAAAAAAAGAGTTAGAAACATGCATTAATTCATTCAATAAACATTTCTTTTGTGCCTACTACATATCAGGCCTGTTCTTGATGCCAGGGCTAAGGGGCCTTCCAGCGTTTCCATTCCAGTGTATAGTATATAAGAGCACATGCACCTTTGCGGTCCACCTAATAAAGTGCACAACTGTAGGACACTGGTTTTCATAAAATAAATGATTTACCCAGAATGTCTGCAACCTGACCTATTTGGATGAAGACTGTATTTGAAATTTAAATATATTAATTTGAAAAGAGCATAATTTTTTTTTTTTTTTTTTTTTGGCCGCACCGCAAGGCATGCAGGATCTTAGTTCCCCAACCAGGGATCAAACCCGTGCCCCCTGCAGTGGAAGCGCGCAGTCCTAACCACTGGACCCCTAGGGAATTCCCATTATGACTAAAACTTTTAATTAATCTCTCGCCAACATCTTTTGGGTGTGTCTGCTTAGTTTTTCTTTCTGTTCTCGATTAAGGAATGGGATGGGAGAGACTGAATGTACACACAGACGATGGCCAGGCCATCCATAGCAATAGAGCTCTGCCCCACAACCTGCAGCCACCTGCCCGGGACACCAACCGCTCTTCCACAGTAACCAGCCCAGGAAGCCAGCCTCCTGTAAATCAGACTTGCAGGAAGCAAGATTGCTGTCTCTAGCAGCAAACCAGGAAGCTAAATAATAACTTTTGTAACAATTGGCCCCAAATGGCCAGGGCTTGATTAACAACTGACAGCCCTCCCTAAGTTTTGTTCCTGCTTCCAACTTAAAACCAACCAAAGAAAGCCAAATCTGCCCCCCTGACCAATCACTTAGGATGCCCAATTCTAGTTTATCCACCCTCACCTGCCCCCTGCCACCAGCCAGGCACACCGGAAGCCTTCCCTTTCTGCACCTTATAAGGCATTCCCACTCCTCTGCCCACCTTTGAGTCTCCACCAAAACGCAAGTGATAGTGGCTAGCTCCCTTACTATAGCAAACCCAGAAAAATGGCTTTTGCTTTTCTCATTTCATTGGTCTTCGATTATTTCTGCAGATGTTTACTGTATAAATGCAAAACGCTATTCAACCTTTTGCAGCACTTAATAACTACCAAAACATAACTGTTACACCCTAGGTTCCTAGCAAGATCACCAAACTCACCCATTACCTCTCACACCGGTTGCCATGGTTGCCACGACATGAACCAGCCATCCAGCACGTGCCATAATCACCACGTGCCTGCCCTCGATCAAATAGTTCTTTCATTATTACAGTGTTGAAATTGTTAACAATGGGTAATCATTTGAAAAATTCTTTTAGAACAATTCTTTGGCCATTTAGATTCTTCTACTGTACTTACTACAGTCACTGAGAAACAGAAAACATCTGTTTGTTCTAATGTTTGTGGACAGGTGGAATGGCCCCAGTAGATAACCCCCAAATAGTAGGGATGTTTATACATCCTACTTAAGAAGGTACATGTGTTCGTACTGCTTGCTGCACGACAGGCTAATACATTGAGACGAGTTGTCGGGGCAAGGAATAACTACTTTATTCAGAAAGCCAGCAGACAGGGAAGATGGTGGAGTGGTGTCCCAAAGAACAGCTTGCCTGAGTTAGAATTCAGGCTTCTTTTATACTTAAAGGGGAGGGAGTAAAGTTAGACACTTCCTGGTTTGGTAAATTCAATAAATATTTCTTTTGTGCCTACTACATATTAGGTCAGCCTCCAGAGGGGAGGTGTTACTTTTTTCCTCCCTGCAGTCATTCACAGGTGGGCCTGGTCAGCATGCTTCCTGGGAGCTAAACAAAGGTACTTGAGCTTAATGCTCATTACCTGGGAGGCAGGGTTCCCAGGGACGGGCCATTATGTATAATTTAAGCTTATAGGCAACACCCCTTTAGTGATTAACTTGTAATAGAACACAAAGTTTCTTCCCTATTACACAGGTTAGGAGCTATTTCTGTTTGCTTGGATCTAACTACTGGCTAAACATCAGGCGTTAGAAAGTACTTGATAAAGAGACTTCCCTGGTAGTCCAATGGTTAGGGTCTTTGCCTTCCAATGCAGGGGGTGCAGGTTCAATCCCCAGTCGGGGAGCTAAGATCCCATATGCCTCGTGGCCAGAAAACCAAAACATAAAACAGAAAGCAATATTGTAACAAATTCAGTAAAGACTTTAAAAATGGTCCACATCCAAAAAAACCTTAAAAAAAAAAAAGTACTTGATAAACCTGGCTTGACTGTCATGCTGAAGAATCGTAATGGGTATTATTTTTTAAATAGATGATGTACTTTTCTCCCTGTACCTCCAAGTATATGACCTCCCCCTATCCTGTTGGCGGCATCCATTTGTCTCAGGCAGGATTATGATTCTTATGGAAGGAAGGCAAAGAAAATACGTTATGTTTTTGCAGTCTAGTCTTTGCTTTTGAGAATTGTTAAGATCACAAACTTGCCAAACAGGCTTTCAAAGAGACAGGACTTTCTAAATCCCAAATGCTCCATCTTTGTATTTCCAGGAGCAAATAGGGCTGGCCCGTAGATCATTACAAGGGCATAAATTTTAACTCAGATGATCATTTGAAAAATGTAAAACAGAATTTTACTTTAAACCAGAGTGTAAGTGAGTCCTTGAAACAGGAAAGGAATAGAGAAAAATCCCATCTCTTCCAGGTCTGGGAAGAGGAAGCAGCAGCAAAACGAGTGAGTCCTAGTTGGTCCCCCTCTAGTCAGAGAACTACGGGAGGGTGACATCTCATGTGTGGAGAGGAGAGATCTTGGAGATTTCCTACCCTATTTTTCTGGTATTTTCCTCAAAGACTCACTAAGTCATCTATCAAATTCGATTCTGGTTTACAGTTTTAGGTTCAATGCATTACATCATCAATCTTAGGGGCTTGTTATTTCAGTATTTCCTGTGAGTCTGCACCTACTCCCTGCTGGTCCCCATCTCCATCCATGGCAAATGGGAAAGGTTTAATGTGAATACGCTTGTTGAAAACCATATGTTGTTTGCTACCTTTTTAAGACATTGAATGTGTTAGTTATGTTATTTCAAGGATGTTTTTAAAAAAAAACATATCTTTTAGAAAAGTGATTAATTCTCACGTAGGACTCATTTTGACACTGCATTGACTGACTCATCAGCGCAGGAGATAGGCTGTCATTTATCAATTTGGCTCCCTCTAGTGGCCAGTTTGCAAATTTTAGTAGGTTCTCATATTCCTTAAAACCCCTTTTAAACCACAAAGCAGAGTCATTTTTCTTAGGAAGGTTTGGGGGTAAATGATTGAAATTAAGAGAATATATAC